TAGACAGAGAGCTGGACGGACCATTCAGGCCAATGTTGATATCATCATCGTAGACGAAGCCTACTTTAATGCCATAAGTACTCACTCATACCACAAGCATACTCTCATACCACGAACACACTCTCATACCATGAATATACACTACAGATACACTCTCCCTCGAATCCACAAAGCCTTGGGTGTTCAAGTGTGTTGCTTGACAAACATCAGCTCGATTCTGAATCAGTTCCCGTTGATTATTCTGACATTCGTTTGGCCAAGAAATGCTTTCCGTGCATCACCAAACCAAAACCTATTGATGTATACAGGTTAGATATTGATTTATACAAGTGAGATATTGATGTATATATTGGTAAGATGCCGCTGATTTTACCACTACAATTACTGGTTTCTTGCGTGGTTAATACATGCAGTGGATTTCAGGCTCTCTCACTTCTCTTTATGTCCAGAGTAATGTTAAATCGAGTAATATTTTGTCGAGTGAGTGATTCGTTTTTCTGTGTGATTTGTAACCAGATTTCTTGTGGCCTCTTTTGCTGGCGAAGACATTTAATTTTAAATGACGAGTTACTTCCTTCAATCAGGGTTACAGGCTTGTAGAGTATCTGCTTGTTGCTTGAGACTGCATACCTGTGTGTTGCTTGAGATCTCATACCTGTGTGATGCTTGAGGCAGCAGCATTCCTAGTACGGGACAGAGTAATTGGTGAAGATTGCCTAGTACTTGGTATCGAACACAACGTTATCTTTTGTCTGAAATTCTGCTTAACTGCAAAGAAAACTTTGCTGGAAAGGAAACCTCGATGGGAAGAAACTTTGTGTGGACAGGAACCTTCTCTGGAATGAAACCCTTGCTGGAAATAGAGTCTTGCTGGACACTAACTCTTCCTGGAAAGCATTTTAATCATATTTGTTGTGATTTCTGTAGTTTTTACCTCCGATTTTAGAATTATTTTTAGTTTATTGCAACACATTTTTAAGCCATAACCAAATCGTCCCAGGATCGATTCCCGCGTAGGACGGAGATGTTTGGGCACGGTTCCATATCCCAGAAGCCTTTCTTCATCTATTGTAAATAGGTACCCGAGAGTTAGGGCACTATTGTGAGATGCATTCTGGGGGTAGGTCAGTGGTAGGGAACCCCCTCGATAACCCTCACATTCTTCCTGTCCCCGTAAATGAGGAACTATAAGCTTTGAAAATTCAAAGTTTGTTCTGAAGATGCAAAGTTTGCTCTGAAAATATAAAGGTTGCTCTGAAAATAGAAAGTTTCCTCTGAAAATAGAAAGTTTCCTCTGAAAATGAAGTTTCCCCTGAAAATACAAAGTTTCCTCTGAAAATAGAAAGGTTGCTCTGAAAAATATAATGTTTCCTCTGGAAATAGAAGTTTCCTCTGAAAATAAAAAGTTTCCTCTGAAGATAGAAAGTTTCCTCTGAAAATGGAGATTTTCCCCTGAAAATACAAAGTTTCCTCTGAAAATAGAAAATTTCCGCTGAAATCTGGTGCTTCCCTTTAATCCAAGTGCCGCATTAAATGTACCCAAGTACCTAAATGTAATATCATACTCCACTACGGCGACTAAAAGCTACAGATATTTACATAATTTTAATAAGGACCTTAACATTAAACAGTAACAACGTCGAGTTGTCCCGAGAAAACATTGTCTACTACACGTTACTACAACCCACATATATGGGAGAGACTATAGTGAATGTGACTGAGACGTCACTTTCGTTTCTCGTGTGTGCGAGATGGGTAAATCATTTTCAGACACGTTAATGTGGGTTATTCTTGGCATCTGCAGTATATTTACCGAGTGTAAACAAACTTGGGACCTATGTATTCACCTAGTTGTGCTTGCGGGGGTTGAGCTCTATTGTTTCGGCCCGTCTCTCAACTGTCAATCAATCAACGATAATTTTTTCCACACACACACACACACACACACCCAGGAAGCAGCCCGCAACAGCTGTCTAACTCCCAGGTACCTATTTACTGCTAGGTAACAGGGACATCAGTATGAAAAAAACTCTGCCCATTTGTTTTCCACCATCGCCGGAGATCGAACCCCGGTCCCCAGGATTACGAGACCTGAGTGCTGTCCACTCAGCCACCAGGTGCCTTCGCAAACTGTTTGCCTTTGTGCATCTTGAGGACACAACAACGTCTTTATCATTTCGAATCTATTTCACCTCTTTAATGCAACTTGGACACGAATACGTCTTTCTCATTTTGGATATATTTCACCTCTTTATCCCATCTTCACGATGATGAACCAAAATCCCAGAAAAAGATTCAAGAACATGGAAAGGGATCACGGTTCAGAGCCTGACAGGTGACGGATATATAATTCCCAGTGTCTGTACAATCAAGGGTGAAACGCTTTAAGAAAAGGGTGCAGAGTGTAGGGCTGTCGGACCTTGAGCACGCCTATACAAGCCGGCGGCTGGTGAACATGGAAATGGAAGATCGTCACTAGACGAAAGTTGTAATTATTCTCAAATGGTAAGGAATCATTCTTGGAATGCAATTTTAACAGCATCTACAAGTTTAAAATGAATAGCTTTGAGTTGGTCAGATTAGCTTTGATTCCGTGTCCATGACCTGTGGCTAATTGCCATTCTCTCTCTCTCTCTCTCTCTCTCTCTCTCTCTGAGGAGCGCAGCAATCTCCCTGAGGGACTCCATGATGGTAACTTCACACTCCTGTGTCTGATCTATGTCTTTATATGGAGTTTTATTTCCTTTTAAACCTCATCTCTTTGAACTGGTTGGCACTGCGACGGCCTCGCTTTTTGTAGGGTCGGTGTTTGATCCTCTATGGTGTAAATGGTTTTAGTCTGTCTCGTATCCCTTCCAAGTGTTATTTAGTCATCGTCTTAGTGTTTTCCAATGCTCCTTGGCTTTTATGTATTTCTAGCTGTCCATCTCATCTTTCAATCTCTCCATTTTCCTTCATCTCATTTTCCTCCAAACAGTCCCTCTCAGCCCTCTCACACCCCCCCCCCCCCCCCCTCCCTCCGCCCCGCTCAGCCCACGCACACCACTATGTCCTCTGAGGGCGGCTTCTCTCAGCTCAGCCTAGGATTCGAAAAGGAGAAATTTCACCCATAAAATGTTATTAGCTCGTGAATCTCAAGGGATGTGAGGAGGGTCGAGGTGGTCAGGCTTTAAAGGTTTGTATTCCCTTTAACAAATATGTTACTAAATCCCACAAAATTTGATTTAATGTGGAAATTGACGTAATACCTTGGTATTGTCTCACGAAAACATAGCAGACGTTAGCCAAGATTTCAGTGCTATGGCTCAATACTCAATGAAATCACATTAACGTGGTGTGTCAATGAAGAAAAATGAGGTAGCTTGGGAGTACCATGTGAAAGGGACTCCACTACGGGCTCACCATAGCCCGTGCTACTTGGATCTTTTAGTTCCAGGTAGTGAATCTTTAACAACAACAACAACATGTGAAAGGGTTTGAATTCTTCTCGTGGATTTTCTTATGGCTTAATCTTAATGGTTTAAGGGATGTAAATATGACTAGGCTAGGCTACCTAGAATCATGACAATGTTTAAACCTTCATAGATAAGAGTTAGTGACTGCTTTTTAGGTGAGTGGTGATGTCATGTAGCCGAAACGCAAGATCAGTTCTGACGGATAATACATTAAAGCCTTGTTCTAATGTTTATTAAATAATACATGAAATAGTATATCAATTCCCATTACCTAATTTCCCCACATTTAATAATTGTTTATTTCACTTCGTGTAAACACTATTTTATGACTAAACATTGCCATACATTACTATACATCTCCAGAAAGCCAGCATACATCTCTATACAAAAGCATACAAAAGCCGCTATACACGTCTGTATAGAAAGCTTTGGCTAAATCTTATTCTTCATAAAATAATGGAGTGATGTGAATATTTCGTTCATGAAGAGGCAGAGAATGCTGAGCACCTCACCAGCCTCACTGAGCACCTCACTAGCCTCACTGAGCACCTCACCAGCCTCACTGAGCACCTCACCAGCCTCACTGTGCATATATAGCTTTACTGAGCACCTCGTCCAAGACTTACGGGCTCACCATAGCCCGTGCTACATGGACACATCGTTCTGAGTAGCTAAATCTAAAAAAAAAAAAAAAAAAAAAAAACTCGTCCAGCTGAGCAGTGAGGACCAGAAGCCTCGAACCATTTCCAGGGTTACCTCCCGAATGCGGGTTTACCAAAAGTTATACCGTATACTATAATGAGTATACTTGCATATCAAATCTATTTACATACATGAGAAATATTATCCGGCACGGCCGGTTTACATAAGTTCTAGATATCTAGATACAGTAAAAGAGTACGCTCTCGTAAGCATAAAAGATGGTTTACTTTTCATCGTATTAAGCGGTTATATTATAAAGCGGTGTGCGTGGTATAGTGGGCCCCATGGCTTGTGTAGCGGGCCCTGTGGCTTGTGTAGCGGGCCCTGTGGCTTGTGTAGCGGGCCCTGTGGCTTGTGTAGCGGGCCCCGTGGCTTGTGTAGCGGGCCCTGTGGCTTGTGTAGCGGGCCCTGTGGCATGTGTAGCGGGCCCTGTGGCTTGTGTAGCGGGCCCTGTGTCTTGTGTAGCGGGCCCCGTGGCTTGTGTAGCCACGCTACACATTACTTTCACATCACACACAACAAAACATCATTTTGTGTGTGTGTGTGTGTTGCTGGTGGGTGTGTGTGTGTGTTGCTGGTGGGTGTGTGTGTGTGTTGCTGGTGGGTGTGTGTGTGTGTTGCTGGTGGGTGTGTGTGTGTGTGTTGCTGGTGGGTGTGTGTGTGTGTTGCTGGTGGGTGTGTGTGTGTTGCTGGTGGGTGTGTGTGTGTGTTGCTGGTGGGTGTGTGTGTGTGTGTGCTGGTGTGTGTGTGTGTGTTGCTGGTGGGTGTGTGTGTGTGTGTTGCTGGTGTGTGTGTGTGTGTGTGTGTGTTGCTGGTGGGTGTGTGTGTGTGTGTTGCTGGTGGGTGTGTGTGTGTGTGTTGCTGGTGGGTGTGTGTGTGTGTGTCTTAGTGTTTTGTAAGATTTTGTACATAGTGAATGGCTTAACAAGTAGAGCTTTGTAAGACTGAAGCCGTATTCATGTTAATCTTTCTTTGGTGGGAGTTTTTTCGTCTTGTCAACCTGAGCGTAGATTGGCTCTTCGCGGATGGTCTTCTGTTGCAGTTTCTTTAAAACCTCTTCGACATGAGCGCCGTCTGCTGGGGGCTTCGCGAAGGGACTGTAGGTGTAGTGGCTGTCTTCAACCTGCAAGAAAGTACGTGAGGTGTTTAGGAGTTTTTGTAACGCCTTCAAACATAAAATCAACTCATAATTCTGTTTTGACCTGAGTAAGTCCACTACGGGCTCACCATAGCCTGTGCTACTTGGAACTTTTTGTTCCAAGTAGGGAATCTTAAACAACAACAACGAAGCTGTTTTGAGTAGCAGTGACGATGCCTGCCAAAGCTTTAGGAACTATTTCAAGTCGCAGCATCTTTGAGTTGAAACTTTTTTGGGGTCTGAACAGCTTGGGGGTCGAAACGTCTCGGGGTCGAAACATCTTGGGGTTAAAACATCTGGGATTCGAAACATTTTGGGGGTGAGAACATTCTAAAGTTAGCACAAGGACATCATAGATCAATATGTGTGGAATTATGAATAAGTCATTTACATAGAGAGAGAGAGAACACGCAATCTTGTCCTGGAATTGAACAAGTTGTTTTACCAATGAAACAATAATGTTTAGGGTCATTACCTCCTTGTCGACGGGCGTGAAGTGCTGCAGGCTGTCGTACGTTGAGCTCGAACGATCTGCAATGATCAATTAAAGTGTTACCTCCAAATCTGTGGAAAAACATTACTGCTGACTATTTTACATAGTTCAGTAAAGCAAGAAGCTTAGCTGTATCTCTCGTCCCTGGAAGACAAAGTAAGTGGAGACATGATCACCACCTACAAAATTTCTCAGAGAAATTGACAGGGTGGACAAAGACAAAATATTTAGCGCGGGTGGAACATGAACAAGGGGATACAGGTGGAAACTGAGTACCCAGATGATCCACAGAGACATTAGAAAAAACATATTCAGTGTCAGGGTAGTTAACAGATAAGATGCATTAGGCAGTGATGTGGTGGAGGCTGAAGATGCATTAGGCAGTGATGTGGTGGAGGCTGACTCCATACACAGTTTCAAATGTAGATATGATAGAGCCCAGTAGGCTCAGGAATATGTACACCAGATGATTGACGGTTGAGAGGCGGGACCAAAGAGCCAAAGCTCAACCCCCAACCTCCCTCCTTCCCTCTCTCCCGTTCTCTCTCCTAGTGGACAAAACATGGTCAGGTAACGGGGGAATCAGTGTCATCGACGTTGATACAATGTCTATAACTGCTGAAAAATCTACTGTTAACATCTATGGGCAATCAAACCCACATTTCTGGCTTAGGTGAATAGTTGGTTGTCTCAATAGGAACCAGTCCTTCTTAAAGAGGGGCATAGAGGTCCACTTCAACCACCCTTTGATACTCATCATATAATTATAATTCGCCACGGAAAGTTGGGTGAGGCTAACCACAAAAGCTGGCCTCCAACCTCAGACAGACAGATATACTTTCTTAACATTAGTAGTAAATAGATGGTAGTGAGTTTCACGTAGAACTATTTGATCTTATACCTGTATTATATTTTAGACCATCGTAATTATGCTACAATAAAACAAGATATACGCATCACGAATCAGTGAAGGACATGCACGAATGTAGTGGAGCTTCCTGACTCACCACTCTCGCTGTCGTTGTCATCTCGACTGAACTCCTTCCAGGCTTCCATAAAAACTTTCGGCTCCGAGTACACAGCGTTCTCGAGATCAGCAACGGGCTGCTGGTGGGTCCCCGAGTGTGTCTGCAGCGCTTGAGCAGCAGGGAGCATATTGGAGTAGGGGCGGGCAGCGGCGGCGTTAGTGGGTAAGGACTTGCTAATGAGCTTGCCCTGTCCGTTGCTAAACGCCAGCGCCGTCTTCTGACCTCCAATCGGGATGGTCGGTTGCATCGCTGGAACGACTTCATAGTTCTTGTTGGTAGTGACCCGAGGAGGCTTTTCCGGCTTGGGGTTGTAGCCAGACACGGCTGGAGTTTCCTGCACATATAGATGAATTAATGACATAAATAAAAGCGGTTCATCAGCTGAGTTATTATCATCATCATTCTGTGTATCTCGCAGTGTGTGTTTCTACAATATATGGTCACAAGGCACGCACAGTGTGTGGCGGAATGACCATCAAAGACTCCGTGAGGTACTGTACTTACTTTATGTGGGGGAGGGGGGGGGGGGTGAAAACTCCATTAAAATCAACAATAGGATTCGAATCTGCAACTTGGGTACTCCCAAGCGGCACGCCTTGTATTACTAAACCACGATATGTTATAAGTAATGTAACTTGGCATTCAGCTAGGTTCGCTAAGGAACCTCGGGTATCGAGCTGATACTAAATCAGGTTATTTACACATACTGGCATGCTCTCTGGCGAGGCACGGGAGTTCCACCACAAGACTCTTCACATAACGTGATACATCACCTTGATGGGAATTCCTTGTATAATAATAATAATATAATTTTGATTTAAAAATATACGGAAGAACAAGATACAGTTATTAATTAATGGTTGCAGTGCATTTACATTTAATAGTCACTAATACGCAAAGCGTCATCATGCTGAAGACACAATAGCCGTCAGTACCTTGAAGCCGAGGCGTGGGCTGGAGGCCTTCGTGGAGACGGGCAGCAGGGTGAGTTCCTCGTATATATGGCCGCACTGTGTGAGGGGCTCCGGGTCCATGGTGATGGGCGGCGCCACCTGGCCGGCAGGTAAGGGCTGGCTGTTCCTGCTCATCTTGTGGCGCCACATCTCCTTCTCCTTGGACACCAAGGTGTGGATCTGCTTACCCTGTCGATCAAGAAGGAGTACATCAAGTCACGACTTGATGAGGGAGCCAAGGCGGACCGAAACCTCCACACTTTCACTGCATTTCATGCATGTGTGTGGATTCAGAATTATTTGAAAGGAGTTCAGCACTTGAAATTTATCTAATCTAAATGCGTGTTAGGGGACGCTAAGCCCCGAAATCATCTCATGATAACCTCAAGATAGCATGTTGACCATACCACACACACTAGAAGGTGAAGGGACGACGACGTTTCGATCTGTCCTGGACCATTCTCACAATCGACTTGAGAATGGTCCAGGACGGACCGAAACGTCGTCGTCCCTTGACCTTCTAGTGTGTGGTCTGGTCAACATACCTCAGCCACGTTATTGTGACTCATTGCCTGCTCAAGATAGCATTATGTATTACAATTAGAAATCAGGAACATCAGTTTGAACGTTTCGATTTGTTTTCTTCCCTGTTGGGCGAGCAGCTGAACCTGTCATAGTTTGTGTCCTTGCATAGTTACTCCAGCAAGAGTCACACTATGCCCTAATGTACTTAAACATATATTATTCTGTTCCTATTAAAGTTATAAAAAAAATCTAAATTGAAAATCGAAATAGTTTCTATGATGAGGATAAATTTTCAATATTAGTATTAGAGCTGAAAAATCAAGAACAATATGAAGGACTCACTTTGGGCGGAGTAATAATTGTGTAACACCCCTTTGTCGGGGTCAGCCAGGTTTTAGGCTTACCGACGGGCCCCTTAATGCCAACTACACTGACACCCCCCCCCCCTCCCCCCAGCATGCCACCCACAACAGTTGCCTAACTCCCGCATAACTCCTGTTTCACTGCTAGATGAACAGGTGAAAGGAACGGTTCCCAACATATTTAGATTAATATTTGAGAAAATACCGTTTTTGATGAATGGATAAAAAATAAGGAATGTGCCTTTGGGGACGACCACAACCTGGACGACCATACCCAGAGGATGGGTTGGGGGGACAACCTGTAGTATAGGGAGCCGGTCCGCCGAGCAGACAGCACGCTGGACTTGTGATCCTGTGGTCCCAGGTTCGATCCCGGGCGCCGGCGAGAAACAATGGGCAGAGTTTCTTTCACCCTATGCCCCTGTTACCTATAAGTAAAATAGGTACCTGGGTGTTAGTCAGCTGTCACGGGCTGCTTCCTGGGGGTGGAGGCATGGTCGAGGACCGGGCCGCGGGGACACTAAGCCCCAAAATCATCTCAAGATAACCTCAAGATAAGATAGGCTTTAGGCTCGAATGGAAAACACTAGATAGAATACCACGACGCTAATTACTATGACTCCTTAATCCACCATCAACTTTAGAGAACAGAAGGTGGCGGAGGACATAAACGACAACAATATCGTCTAATGCCAAAAACCAAACGAACATCTATAATTTGTATCAGTCAAATACGCACTCGTTAATATCAGTAATCCTCTGGTAATATAACACTGGACATTTTTACAGATTTAACGATTCCGAGACAAAAGTCATATTTAAGGTATCAAACTTTGCTTTGGAAATCTTTTGGAAAAAGTTAGCGTCTTTTTAAGAAGACTGAAATCCTGAGACGTCAATAGGATAAAGGCATATATACACTGGGAACGAAAAATTTAACGAAGAAATATTTGTGGAAATCGGAGTTTTGGCCAGATCAAAAGGCAGGAAATGTAACTAGGGAACCAGCTGGTTCACTAGTTACAGAAGCCGGATTAGTTACAGTAGATGACAAGGCAGGTAACAAGACGGCTCCTGGAACACAGATAACAAGACGGCCCCTGGAACACAGATAACAAGACGACCTCTGGAACACACAGATAACAAGACGGCTCCTGGAACACAGATAACAAGACGGTCCCTGGAACACAGATAACAAGACGGCCCCTGGAACACAGATAACAAGACGACCTCTGGAACACACAGATAACAAGACGGCCCCTGGAACACAGAAAACAAGACGGCTCCTGGAACACAGATAACAAGACGGCTCCTGGAACACAGATAACAAGACGGCTCCTGGAACACAGATAACAAGACGGCCCCTGGAACACAGATGACAAGACGGCCCCTGGAACACAGATAACAAGACGGCCCCTGGAACACAGATAACAAGACGGCCCCTGGAACACAGATAACAAGACGGTCCCTGGAACACAGATAACAAGACGGCCCCTGGAACACAGATAACAAGACGGCCCCTGGAACACAGATAACAAGACGGCCCCTGGAACACAGATAACAAGATGGCTCCTGGAACACAGATAACAAGACGGCTCCTGGAACACAGATAACAAGACGGCTCCTGGAACACAGATAACAAGACGGCCCCTGGAACACAGATAACAAGACGGTCCCTGGAACACAGATAACAAGACGGTCCCTGGAACACAGATAACAAGACGGTCCCTGGAACACAGATAACAAGACGGCCCCTGGAACACAGATAACAAGACGGCTCCTGGAACACAGATAACAAGACGGCTCCTGGAACACAGATAACAAGACGGCCCCTGGAACACAGATAACAAGACGGCCCCTGGAACACAGATAACAAGACGGCTCCTGGAACACGGATAACAAGACGGCCCCTGGAACCGTTATCTGTCCATCCTAGACTCACTCACTCACCAAGTTAGTGATGAATACAAACTCTCCCTCTCCAAGCTGGCTCTTCCTCCCGGCCTCAACGTGGAAGTTGGTGTCGGTGTAGCCGAAGCGACGAAGGTGCTCGATGCCCCAGCGGACGATCCGGTTACCGTCTAGGGACATGATGGTGATGTGGCCGTTCTCGACCAGCAGCCGCACCTTCCCGTCCACCGCCAGCTTCTGTCTGCTCTCCACGCTCACCGTCACCGTGTACTGACGGCACACTGCGGGGAATGATAAGGTTTATTGTGTTGGGTTTAGTCTTGCTCGAGTGGGACACGGGGAGCATAGACTAGCTGTTGTTGTTGTTATAGATTCAGCTACTCGGAACAGGTTCCAAGTAGCACGGGCTATGGTGAGCCCGTAGCTTACCTGGCACAGGAGGAGCATAGACTAGCGGATGTACAGTGTATATCTAGTAGTCGCCTGTTGAACTCTATCAACACAATTCACCTTAATACACACTAAGAAGAGGGAGCGATATCTGGACCGTCACCGACTTTAGGTCAGGCGGCAACCTGGCCTTCAATGACCTTGGGCAAGGGAGCAAGCTGACTTTCAGTAACCTTGGGTAAGAGAGCAAACTATGACCTTCATGTGACCTTGGGCAAGGGAGCAAACTGACCTTCCTCAGCTGGGACGTAGATGTCGTTCTCAACGGTGACCTTTGTGGGTGAGTGCTGCGGGGGGCCCATAGAACACATCGGCTGCAGCAAGGTGTCTTGGATATTCTGAAGAAAAGGAATATTATCGTTCGAGGTTCCTCGTGGAACTGATCTGAAATCCTGAATTTATCCAGGACCACCAATTGACTAACCGTTATTCCTTAGTGATCTATGTAACTCATTACAGTTCTGGCTGTTCTGATTAAAAAAATATAATCGCATGACATATTCGACAAAAAGTAATGCTTAAAGTATCAAGTTGTTTTAACTTAGATAATCTATATACATTAGATAATTTAAATTCTGATTCTGAAACTTTTTGAAGGGATACGTTTTAAACTATATAGCTGAGAACTTTAGAGGTGACTTGTATAATAATAAAGATGGATAATCTATCTATATCTATAAGATATATAAATAGATAAATTCTATCTAAATTTATGTGTCTGCTTGCTCAACGGTGGAGGCCAGAGGCTTGGTGCTGATGGAGAAAGGAGAGAAGAGGGAGGAGGAAGGAGGGAAGAGGAATTAGAAGGAGTATGCAGGGAGAAAGAGAGTGAGAGATTATCCCGGACCCTGCTAGGTAGGCGCCCCTTCCAGTAAGATATATAACATTTAATAAACGACATGAACAAAATATAACATAAATGTCTTAGAAATGTGCACAGCCTTTGATGAACCCTTTATCAAGGTCAGATGGTCGTTTAAGTATATATTTACGATAGATAGTTTGTTCATTTTGGGGTAAATGAAAATTGTGTGCGAGATGATGTTTTTTGATAACTGCTTGCTTCCTCATGTAAAACTTTTGTGTAAATAAAATATGTTTTCTCTCTCTCTCTCTCTCTCTCTCTCTCTCTCTCTCTCTCTCTCTCTCTCTCTCTCTCTCTCTCTCTCTCTCTCTCTCTCTCTCTCTCTCTCTCTCTCTCTCAGTTCGACTTACCTTCACCCAATTGTCACAGTCAAACGCATCCTTGGCACTGAATGTATACTGTTGCTCCCTCGTTGCAACCTGCAAAAAAATATACATACATATGTATCTCATTTTCAATAAAATAACAATGAATAACCCAAAACCACAAGTGAATATGAGTGAAGAATGATGGGAAATAGTAAGGGTGATGGGAAATAGTAAGGGGGCGAGGAATATAGTAAGGGGGCGAGGAATATAGTAAGGGGGCGAGGAATAGTAGAGGTTGGGGACTGGGAACTACTTTTGTTCATCTCGTAAACTCGTCAGAGATTTTGTTAAAATATGGGTAGTGGTAATTAGAGATATGTGAAGCGTCTTTTGCAGAGATGAAACAGATGACACATGTGGATACAGGAAGCAGTGGCACGCTATTGTAGTGATGGTGTTACTTGCTATAGTGATACTTCAGTCACAATCATCAAAAGGAGGTACCACCGGCATCAAAGGAGGTACCACTAGCATCAATAGAGGTACCACTAGCATCAATAGGTACCACTAGCATCAATAGAGGTACCACTAGCACCAAAGGGATACCACTAGCACCAAAGGAGATGTCACTGACCACAAAGGCGTGCCGATCTTCCGCTGTCTCCCCGGAGATACCACTAGCACCAAAGATGACATCTGAAAGCCGGTAATAGCACGAAGACGGATAGAGCACGGAGCACTGAGAAAGGCCTTCATGTTCTCCCCGTACAGCTTGATGACATCCTAATGCCACCCGGAGCAAGGACTTCGAACACCCGAAGAGTTGGGCGTAGTACTCCTTCAGTCTCTGCTCGGCCAGCCAGCGACGTCGAAGCAGGGCACAGGGAGAGGGGAGAGAGAAATAGTGTTAATGTGATTATATATATATATATATATATATATATATATATATATATATATATATATATATATATATATATATATATATATATATATATATATATATATATATATATATATTATATATATATATATATATATATATATATATATATATATATATATATATATATATATATATATATATATATATATATATATATTGCATTTTGGTGGCAATCTTTCCTGTATACATATGATACTAGATATAACAGAAAGGGTTAGATCAATGATACGAACAAGAATCATATCTATATTTCAGACTAGTTGGGTTAACAGGCGTCTCTCTCCCTCCCTCCCTTCTTCTCTCGTTCTCTCTCCAAGTGTTATCAAGGTTGAATCACCGTTATTGACGATGATTCTGTTTTAACACACTGTTGACAATCAACCCCACATTTCATGCTTCATGGGAGTCACTGGGATTCGGAGTAGGAGCCGACCCTTCTTGAAGAGGGGCATGGGGGGAGGGGGGATCGACCCAAACCACCCTATGGCACTCACCATACAATCACAAATCACCGTGTAATGTCCCACAAGCTAGCCCCCAAGCGTTTAGCCTCCAACTTCGAACTCACAGACATTCTATTTTACATATTATTTTACTTGAGAAAGTAATATAATACTGAGGGAAGATTTTTTTTTTTTGTTAGGGATATTCCTGCGCGGGCCCTAACCCTCTGGCTGGCCCACTAAGTGTTACTTGTTGCTTGTTTCTGTTTTACTTAGGCGGAGTATGAGTATTTATGACTCGTATATTCGCTTCAGTAAGATTATACCCCCCTTGTGCTTTAACAACTTCTTCTGCTCTGTTGAATCTTAGTTAAAATCCTATTAGATTTGTAACTGTGCACTGTGTTAGATAATGTTCCAGTGGTCTGTTGTGGCTGTAACTGTGCACTGTGTTAGATAATGTTCCTGTGGTGTGTCGGGCATTTCTCCACAGTGTTGACATTTCCTCTCATCTTCCGGAACCTGTAAGCCTATTTCCCATGCACATGGGTATCCAAGTCTGATGCAATGTAAGTGTACTTCTCTTGTTCTACTGCTCCCTTTCATCAAGCCAAGTGGTTCATAGTTGGTTGAATTCTTGTACCAACCCGCAGATCCTGATGTTGCAACTGTTGTGAGGGGGAGATGATAGCGAGGGGACATGATAGCGAGGAGAGATGATAGCGAGAGGGGAGATGATAACGAGGGAGGAGATGATAGCGAGGGGGAGATGATTGCGAGGGGGAGATGACAGCAAGGGGGAGATGATAGCGAGGGGTGATGATAGCAAAGGGAGATAATAGCGAAGAGAGATGATAGCGAGGGGAGATGATAACGAGGGGAGATGATAGTGAGGAGAGATGAAAGCGAAGAGAGATGATAGCGAGGGGAGATGATAGCGGGGATAGATGATAGCGAGGGAGATGACAGCAAGGGGGAGATGATAGCGAGGGGGAGATGACAGCAAAGGGAGATGATAGCGAGGAAAGATGATAGCGAGGGGAGATGATAGCGAGGAGAGATTATTGCGAGGGGAGATAATAGCGAGGGGGAGAGGGACCACTGGCGGATGCTGTGTATCTGTCTACGTTTCCAGGCTCAAGACCTCTCAATCCTGACCCGGTCTATCAGTGACGTCACGGGATGCTCATGCTGACGTCAACACCAACCTTTTTTTTTATTTTTTTATCTCATGGTGTAATTTTTTTTTTTTTTTTTTAGAGTAATGTGTTTTCTTTTTACGTGCTATGATTGTCTGGGATAGATTTCATTAGTCCACTTGTTCTTGCCTAGTAGATGGTCGACCGAGATTCAGCTCCTGGGCCTCGATTTTCCAACTGTCCTTCGTGGTATCCCGTTATTCCTGTGTTGTTTCTTCTGAGGTTGACTTTTAAAATTGGGAATGGAGGTCTACTTTACCTTTTAATTCGATGCATTTGCATCCTCACCCTTGCATGTTGTGGGCGCTATGGCTTGACCTGTGCGTATTTTATTGACAACTATGAGTATTTTACATGTCTGGATCTTGTTCCTGTATTTCATCCTTCCACTGGCCTCAGGGTCAGCTTCCCAAGACTATCCCCATGATAGTCTCTTCACTTCTTGTTTTGATGCAAAGTTCTGTACTGTTTTGTTCTTCGTTTTTAGTATGTTTGAAAAAGATATTCCACGCTGTTCTTGAATAGTTAAACAAAATGTAGACAAATGCAGTATGTGACGTCTTGAAGATATGCTTATCTAACTCTCTAAAACATCCTTAGCTATCACCTAAAGACACACAAGGTGTCCTTGTGTGTCACCCTGATGATTCCGGCTCAGCTCACACTGCTATCGAGAACATGTTCTGAGTTCTTCCTCAGACAGTGGCGGTGTTAAGTGTACGCCAAGGTGCCCACCCAGGACCTTGGCTTTCTTTTGACCTTTCAACCTTGAGACATATAAACACTACCAAAGACAGAGCAGGAGAGGGAGGCGGCCAGGAAGTGGAGACTCGCAGCCTTAGAGCGTCGTGACCGGACAGTAGCGAAGACGCTGTTGTTGTTGTTTAAGATTCGCTACTTGGAGCAAAACGTTCCAAGTAGCACGGGCTATGGTGAGCCCGTAGTTAGAGAAGACGCCGGAGTGTGAAGAGGCATGAGCTGAATGTCTCGCTCTGGCTGCCCTTCAAACATTGGGCAGCTAGATCTAAGATGCATAATTATGTGCCTGGCCTTAGGTTTTAATCTTAAGAAGACGTTCTGTACACGGTCTTAGTGCCCTGATATTTCCTGATATACATATGTGTCACATATGACACATATGTATTGTAGTACATGTGATTTGTATGTCCGTGCAGGAAACATGCAAATACCAGGCACATCAGCTTTCTTAAACAAGATCATTGGTTTCTTAAGCAAGAATGCGTTAACATCACAAGACTTACCACAAACATTTAATTTCTCAGAGAGCTATAACTACTACCATACATTACCATTATTGCAAACCGACCAGCAAAAGTTGCAGCTCATAATCAACAAGAGAGAATCAAAAGGGATTTTTCCCATTGTAATTTCAAGCAAACTGTATACGTGATCGCTGTGAATCAGAAGCCATCCAGGATCACATCAGGTATGCTAATTCAGTATTAAGCAAGATATGGAGATAAACGTCGAGCTGAGTTGAGTAACTAACGTTGAGAGGATGACGTTACCCCTTGGTGTATAGGTAGAGCCAGCCTCGCTGGATACAAGGAAAGCCTTCGTAAGATCTTCTCACATACAAACTGAAATTTAAAGTTGTGCGAATGAAACCCCTTTGCAAGGAAGGAGTAAAAAAAAACCAGGGGCATAACAAACAACCTTGGAACTATAACACATGATAACCTTGATGAACTATAACACAAGCTTCTGTAATTGGGACTACGATACACATGCTAACCATCGCACCACCGTGCTTGGGACTACCAGACATGCTAACCAGTCAGGATATCAAAATGAATACTAAAACCAGGAACAGAAGCCTTGTCCTGGCCTAATGGCCGCTTACTATGATTCCATAAGTTGCAATAGGTGGGTCGTATTCAAGGGGGGGGGGGGGGACTAATAGTTTACCATGAGCTATGGGAAGGAAAACCTCCCAGCCTGCTAACAGGAGTCAGCAATCAGCAGTATTTCGTGATAAATTGCTGAAATAACCAGACCGAGTATGGTGGAGCACATAGAGAAGGGTCAACTCTGTAACTAAGGGACCAACATGGATTTGGACACCCGATGGTGTCCGGGTGTCCTACTCCCTTCGTCCTTCAAATTTAAGTCTAGCCCTGAGCGTCTGGCTTCCAACTCTGGACAGACAAACAAGACAAACACACAGACATTTTCTCTTATTGTATTGGTGTTAGCAGATGGCGCAACAGGCACAGTAAGGCCAGTAGGAGAGGCAAGACGAACTAGCCCTCGCGTCTCCCTAGATATTTACAGATCGGAACTGCAACACTGATGCTGGTATCATCTTGAGGAATTTGAGTTTACGTGGTGCATAAGGGGCTCGTGAACCACGGTGTCGACACCTGTCTATCAATTGGTATCATCGGAACCAAAGAGGTGTTTTATTCACTCCAATATGAAGAGCAAAACATCCTGTTCAGCTTGACACTGTTCGTAGTGTGAAGGTTTGCGAGTGTCTGGTAGTCCCACGGACGCTGGTGTGATGGTTTGCGAGTGTCTGGTAGTCCCACGGACGCTGGTGTGATGGTTTGCGAGTGTCTGGTAGTCCCACGGACGCTGGTGTGAAGGTTTGCGAGTGTCTGGTAGTCCCACTGACGCTGGTGTGAAGGTTTGCGAGTGTCTGGTAGTCCCACGGACGCTGGTGTGAAGGTTTGCGAGTGTCTGGTAGTCCCACGGACGCTGGTGTGAAGGTTTGCGAGTGTCTGGTAGTCCCACGGACGCTGGTGTGAAGGTTTGCGAGTGTCTGGTAGTCCCATGGACGCTGGTGTGAAGGTTTGCGAGTGTCTGGTAGTCCCACGGACGCTGGTGTGAAGGTTTGCGAGTGTCTGGTAGTCCCACTGACGCTGGTGTGAAGGTTTGCGAGTGTCTGGTAGTCCCACGGACGCTGGTGTGAAGGTTTGCGAGTGTCTGGTAGTCCCACGGACGCTGATGTGAAGGTTTGCGAGTGTCTGGTAGTCCCACGGACACTGGTGTGAAGGTTTGTGAGTGTCTGGTAGTCCCACGGACGCTAGTGTGGTGTTATCGTGTGTGCATGATAATCCCAAGGACAATAGTTCCATTCTCTCGTATTGCTCACACATTTCAAACATTTGACCCAAAGTTATTTTGCAACTTTTAATTGCATCCGTTCCCACAGTGCAAGAAGGCTCCCGCGTCGCTTGCAGCCACAAGTACTCCAACTTAGAAACCCCATGAGAGCATTAACATGTTTGTAGAGTATATGTCGAACCTAAAATATTCTTAATTACAAAATAAAACAACATTTTAGCGAAAAACTACGGTGAACATTTTGACTTACCTTGCTAAATGGGCCCTTGGTGCGGAGAGAGAGATTCCCAACCTTGACCTTATTTCCTGGATTCTCCATGGCGTCCATCAACTGCTCCTTGAGGATGACTTGAAGACAAACACGAGGATTAGTAAACAAGAGAGCTTGTACTCCCTCGCCACCTGGAGGCGTGTCACCAACCACGCCAAGCGTCTGGGCTTGTTAATATCTCCTTGTTTACAAAACTGTGGAGAAGATCACTGACTTTTGTCTGGTTTTGATAGAGAAATGTCCAGCTTCCTTTATTTCCTTTATTTCCTATATCTAAATCCTTTATTTCGGATTTGTCTATCACTGTTTTTTTTTTTAAACTCGCTGATAAAGCAACAGACTGTACCTCTTCTTAGAATAGAGTCTGGGAGAAGTGAAACACAACGAGGGATACCTAGATACACAAAGGCGAGCTGCGACACTCTACTCTGTCTGTTAGTGTTGGAGATAATCCCAGGACAGCTCCTTGTACTGTAGAGTCAGATTCCTTTTATTGAAATGGGCAACTCACTTTATCTAAAAAAAAAACGGATAACTTTAAAGGAACTACTCATTTTTATCTAAAAGAACGCCTCACTTGATGTGAAAAGAAGAACTTGCATTATTTAGAATAAACAGCTTTCTGTATCTCAAAAAATGACTGTTTTAGCAATGTTGTCCGTCATAGACACCATAAATCTTGGCACTATCTGTCTTGGCCACCATGAGTCTTGGCACTATACATCTTCGGCACCATAAGTCTTGATGCTGTCAGTCTTGGCACGGTCTCTCTTGGGCACAATCAGTCTTGGCACTAAAACTGTCAAGTAGAACAAATTATGAGTTAATTATTCAATCACCAGTATGTACAATTACATATTTTTCACAGCACATTTGAGCAATGTGGATTATGAAGATTTGTCCCAAACTAATTAGTTATCCCCACGCAATTACTAATAACCTTAAAAAAATGCCAAATAACCTTCCAAGATAACCCAAGATAACCTTCTAAGATCATTTCCTAAGATAACCTTCCAAGATAACCTAACATAACCTTCCCAGATGACCTTCTAAAATAACCTTCCAAGATAACCTCCTAAAATGGCCTTCCAAAATAACAAAAAATGTATTAACAAAATTATTAAGCATATATAAAATTCATATATAATGAATAATTCTAATCAGTTTTAGACAATTATTTATACTTTTGTTCTTATATATAATCCGATTGCAGTTGTTTGAATCAGTTTAAAATATTTAATTGCAAAAGTATTTATTAATACAGCTATTAATTGTTTAATTGAAAAAATGAGCCCCCCCTTTCACCCGATATAAATAATATATTTAAGTATTTTCTTTATCAAATGAGGGTGGGAATTATCAAGAGAAAGTGCCAAGTCATTTCGACTATATAGCACTTGGAAGGGGTCAGGATAAGGATTTGGGATGGGACGGAGGGGAAAGGAATGGTGCCCAACCACTTGGACGGTCGGGGATTGAACGCCGACCTGCACGAAGTTCAGTCCAAGTAGTTGGCTTCGTCAAAGGAGAATTTTCGTATTTCTGGACGCGTGTCTTAGACCCCCCAATACGCCCAAAATCACTTGGTTTCCAGTACCAAAAAAACTTGAAAATCACTTTCAACAAATGAATGGTGACGCGTACTTTGCACATTTTGGTCGTTTTAAGTTGTGTAAGATATGTGGGTCTTGTAGGCTGGCGATAGGATGGTTGTCAGAACACCACAAAGGCAGCAAAAACTATCACTCTGACCACATGTGTAGTGGTGAGGGTGATAGTGATAGTGACTGTCCCTGGCCTGTCTGGGGATCAGGCACTTCACTATTGTTTATGATGCCTCTGGTGTGCCTATTCTTTGGGCCATTGTAATTATTTTTATATTCAAAGGTTTCTCTATTATTCGTCTTGTCTTTTTCTCCATCTTTGTATGTGTATCGATTCTCCGTGGCACTCTCTCCTTTCTTACTCAGTGCCCCCCCCCCCACTCCTCTCCCTGTGCTCCTCAGGCTAACCTTGCCTTCGAGCTCACCCTCAGGTCGTACTCGGCCAAGTTGGAGACCTCCTTAAAGGTGCATCTGTAAATTTTCCGAACTGTGAATTTTTTTTTTTTTTTTTACACTGGCTGGGAAGGTCGTGGCAGGACTTGGGTCATATATCATTGTCTATAAGTACCCATAATCCTTTCTAAATACTTGAGCCGTCATCTTAATCTCAAGAATGTTACAGGACTGATATAACATGCGACACTGGTCGAGTTTAGGACAAGGTATAGGGCACTATAAGCATGTCAGTCAGTAAGGATTTGGTAGCTGTCAGGAGGAGTGATTTCAAGAGTTGTGGCGCCACCAGAGACCAGTAGGCCTACCTCTGGTGTGCCTGTGTATAGGCCTACTCTTGCCTGTGAGCGGTGGGAGATTTAGAGTGAATGTCGATGAGGTAGAGCAATCGGTGGACAATGAACATGTTGGGAGTGTTAATGAATAAAGTTAACACTAAAGCTAACACAGGGGAAACTATGTTTTTGTTTACTCCAGGTAGAGTAGACTATCACACCTTTGGACACAGGTTTATTATTAAAATTATGGGAGGTAAGTTTCCTGTGGGGGGCTTGTCTAACTCTTACTGGAGAGCTTGTCAGTGATCTCCAATATATATACACATATTTAAGCCCCAGTGGTAACCTTATTTACATTAACGCAAGGACCATAACACTCATCTAATATTAGGTATCATAGTTTTGGCTTTACACCACGCGCATGAAGTAATGTGCGCAGCGCATGAAGTAATGAGGTGCGCAGCGCATGAAGGAATGAGGTGCTTAGCGCATGAAGGAATGAGGTGCGCAGCGCGTGAAGGAATGAGATGCGCAGCGCGTGAAGGAATGAGGTGCGCAGCGCATGAAGGAATGAGGTGCGCAGCGCGTGAAGTAATGAGGTGCGCAGCGAACACAGCAGGAAGTCAGCGGACCAATGCTACCGAAAACTGAGGACGTAATCAATTGAATCACAAAGGGATAACCAAGCATTCACCTAATGTTTTGAGGATGGGCTGCCTCTCCTCCTGGACTGATCTGATTCAGTCTTTCTGCAGACTGTAAATAGACTTTTTTTTTATCTTCATTAACTGAGATTTCAAATTTATTTGATTAACTTTGTGTTTAAATCTGTTCAGTGTATTCAGTGAGTACAGTGATCAACTCTGAACTGCTTAACCGTTTGGTTGTGTAGTTAGAAGTCTGAATTATGAGTAATTTTGAGAACTAAACTTAAAACTTTCTCAGTGAGCGAAGCTTGACGCTCATCAGATGGGAGTTATGTCAGGTTTATTTTATAGACAGTTTTTTTTTGTCTGTGTGTATGTGACTTGGGACCTTTTCTTCTGAAGCCAACCACTGCTTACCATCATGGCATAGCAATGTTAAACATATTTTAGCAATGCCTGTATTCTTGCATCCACTGTTTACCACTTGGAAGACATGATACAAGAACCTCTGAGAGGCTGAGATATGGAATGCCACGCAAGTGCTCCAATACAAGAGATCGCATCTCTATATGTAACTCATTCAGCTCGGAATGATTTCTGTCACGTCTCATACATGTCTGTGGTAGGGCGATTGATGTATTAATTTACCTATTTACCTGAATTTACCTGAGGGACCACCATCTGTTTGGTGACCACGTCGAGGACAGAAAACCTAAGGTTTCTCAGATTCTTTTCTTGAAGATTTGTCTTTCCAAGGGCTAGAATTCATTAAATATCTACGTGTCCACGTTCGAACCCCGTACATCTTTCCCCAATCATTGGGGGCTTAGTTGGTATCTATTAAACAGTTTTTAGCATCGAGGTATTACGAGGTTGTCTGTAATAATAACTTTGCGTGGTAAAGGACCTCGCAGCGTTCCAAACTCGTAAACTGTTTAATAAATACAGCCTCAGCGACCTTAATAGAGGAAAGATGTACAGATTTCGTAAGGGAACACGTTAGTGTTTGATGGATGCTGGCTAAGATTTGAAGGCAGAGTTAATGCATGCAGGTATATCATGAACTTCAAGATCACACACACCTGTGAGCTCTTCCCCACAGGAGAAAGGGCTGACATCTCATCTAATCTGACATCTGACAAGTCAGAGATCAACCTCCCCAAGTACACATGGGCTTGAGAGTTATGGTGCTAGATGACGCAGCGGCCAGTTGTGACTCTCTCATCTCGGGCCTGACGCAACTGAACCCAACCGGTCTTGCGTCATCTTCCATGACGCAGAGACTGTCTGTTTCACTTCCCAGTAATCTGACATGTATTTCTAGAAGTGGAAGCTGTCACACATGACTAAACGAAATTTGACCGGAGCGACTTGTCTAACTGCTTGCTTTTGTCGTGGAGGAAACATATATTATTGAGCTGGTGTATCTCTGCTGTGTCCAGGCGGTGTTTGATCCGCCAGCGCCCCTGGACGGTTCTTTATCGCTCGGCTGAGAAAAGGAATCTGGAAAAAGGAATATACATCTGACATGCATCTTGAAACCCTTATTTACGTACATGTTGCATGTCTTGAGAGTCTTGTCTTGACCACAGGAAAACCTCTGCTTCCTGGCCGGGTTCAGGCAAACTCTTAATGTGGTGTACACCTTCCTTGACTCCGCCTTGTCTGCCGATTTGTCCACACAGTAAACAATGTAACTGGTTTACTAAATCAGAGTTAGTTCACTTCATTTATTATGTACCTCATACCCATCCTGGGGGGTGGGGGGGGGGGGATGGAAATGGGGTACCGCCCATTTTGTAGATTGGTGCACGTGTGTAGATTTACAGCTGAGAGGCGGTACCAAAGAGCCGAAGCGCAACCCCCGCAAGCACAGATAGGTGAGTACAACGGGCACACACAACACCCTCGTACAATTGTTTCAATTGTTTAAAAGTCATATTGTAAATCAACGACAGCTCGCAGTCATATAATCAGATATTAACTGCCCAAAAAGCTATTCCTTTGCCCAAGTCCCATTCAATATACTTTTAGGGAACTGACACAAATTTAAATTCTCAAATAGC